CAAGCATTAAAAATGAATCAATAAACTAAATTGACTAAAATGAACCATAATTCATTAATATTTAGACTTTAATTAAAATTTCGTTTTCCAGCCTCCAACAAACTTGAACTCTGAGTAACTTTAACTAACTACCTAGTTTAGAATCTATCCCAGCCACATAGGCCTTTACACACACATAGAATTACTTGCTAGGGCACCACTTCTAGACCTAGGTTAGGCCGATGTTTACTTTTCTGCTGTGTGTCAGGTTTTCCATGATTTTACTACATGTTGTGTAAATTGATTGTTCTGTTTGCTTACTTTTACTGCACTGTTGATTGATGTAATGTGTGTTAGATTTACCCCTATGTTAGGGACGATATATATATTATTTTTCTTGCAGGTGGCCATGCTCATGCAATGCTAAATAAAAGGGGGACAACTGTCATGATTTATACTAATAATATTTTGTGCAGGTGCTTCGGAATTGCTCAGCCCCATTAAATAAATGAGGGCTAAGAATCATTAATAATAACTACTACAAGTGGTCCAAAAACTGGTTAGCCCTCCATAATTAAGAGCACGGCCAAGTGTGATTGTAATGTGTACTTTCATTTCCATATAAACTACTTGTATATATCAACTGCTTGGGATTTTTATTAGGATAACATTACATGAGAGCCTAGAATTTTCTGTTTTCATTTAATATAATAATTTGTAATATTGGTGAGAGTTGTGAAAGTATCTTTGAGTTTGGATATTCTTATCCAACTCAAATTCCAAAATAAGAAGGCATCCTCAAAGGGGAGAGTCTTCTTCCATTTGGAAGATCGAGTCAAGATGGCTTTAAATATCCAAAGAGAAAAGATAATACCCCCTTTGGGGAGGAATTGTCTCTTCATTTGGATATTCAATCCACGATGAATCCAAGGAGTCCAAGGAGGAAAGATTTAATGAGTCCAAAGAGGAGAGATCCAAAGAGTCTAAGGAAGAGAGTTCCAAGGAGTCCAAGGAGAAGAAATCCAAAGAAGACTGAAGATATGAAGACTTAATATCCCACTCAAAGTCATTTCCGTTAGTCATAGGCTTAGAAATCCGAGTTGTTGGCAGAGGTGCCCGGCTACTTTACTTTTCTGTAGACCCTGGTTTGTAATTAATGGCAGTTGACCTATGGACATTTACTTGAATAGTTTGATCATATTAATGTGTTTGATTGATATTGATTGCCTCTAGGGTTGCATGTTTTTCCTAGTTTATTGGCGAATTGCATATCACTTTTATTTTAACTTGGATTTCGTTAGGCTCTTTAAAGACTATAAAATTTTTTCACTCTTAATTAATACTTAAAATTTTAAGAATTAAATAACATAGAAACTTAACGACCTAGAAAATTGCTAGAATCATCCGGGGTCGCATGCATATCAATGCATTCTTCTTTCTCCTTACTTTGAGACACTTCCCCACCTGCGGGTAGAGTCCGGTTAATCTGGCCTATGAGGATGAGGTGCTGGACATGGGGAAGTCTAGTCTCCTTCTAAAAATTATTTTTATAAAAGCCTGTTTTTAAAATCTAAAGCATATATGATTTGAATCTTTAACCAGCATACATTGCATTAGAATAAATTTAATTAAAATTTAATTGCATTAATTAGGAGCATTTACCCCACATAAGTATAAGGCCAATTAGGAAACCTTCTAGATGTCGACCTTAACTTCAAAAAATTATACCACCCACCCATCTTTCATAAAATGATCTGACATCATGGTTTTAAAGCGATCAGGTGATTAGTTGACTCCCCAATCCAGGACGGGATAGGTCCAGGTTTTGCACTGCATTAGTTAGGACACGGGTGTCAGTGTTGTTCGTATAACACTAAACCCAATCTAAATTTATGATTCAAGGCTACTACATTCGATCTCGTAGTAGTATGCCTAAATAGTGGGTAGGTCCCTTCCTTTTAGGGACTATAAATCCTACTTATCTAGGTCATATGGATGACGCCACTTCCATCTTTCTCTCATTCATGTGTCGATTGCCTGACTTTTATTTACTCCTATTTCTTCTCACTACCTTAGTCCTTCTGAATGTTGATATTAACTCTGCATGTTAACTAAGCCATTTGAGACCTTTCTTCCCTTTGAGTAGGACTTATTAGTCTATACCCTTGTGTCAATCCCATTTTGGATAAGATAATGTATGGATAATCGAGAGTCTTCTCAGGCCCCGGTCTAAGATATAATTAACCACGGGGGCTTGCGCCCATGAGAAACTGAATTTCACATATACTAAATCCCATCAGAGCTGATATATCAGATGGGGGAAACCTATGATTGTGATCAGGCCGTGCATATTATTACTCATCGAGGTGCATAAGCGAGATTCGCTATCCTCCATGGTTAATCTTATGTTGGGTCTAATATGCCCTTCCATTGGCCAGTTTGCGAGGAGCGCAGAGGCCCGTGATCGTCTCTATCCCTCAGGGTAGGTGCGGTCGTATACTCCTCTGCAATCCTGCAGCCGTAGCAGTGCTTTTTTGGAGGTCCACATATGGCATCTAATGTTCATGTAAGTTTCTTGATAAATGTTCATTAAAAGGCTAATCAAAACATAAACACTAGTTGTGTATGTGAGTATATAGATTTTAAGCCTATTGAAAAAATCCTCATAGGATCTTAAGCAAGCATATACTACCAACATATGTAATCTGATGCGGCCATCCATCAAATATATATATATATATATATATGAATACTTATTTTAAGCAAATACTAAATTTCTTTTAAACCAATTTAAATAAATACATGTTAAATCATTATGATGCTCTAGAACACATACAACATTATTTTTTTAGATCTTCTCTCTTTAGAAGATTGTAAGCACGATTATCTTGTGATAGTGGTTTGATCTCTTGAACTATGATAAAGTATAATTAATCTATAAATGCATGACTATACATTATGGATTTATTTTTATGACTCCTCTATAAAGTATCTTCCTTATATTATAATACATTTAGTGCTCTATTTTATGCATAGTTTCTAATATTATGTGCACTATATGAAAGAGTGTACTTTGCTTGATAGACTTGTTTCTATATGCTTGATATATGACTGTACAATTCAACTTTTGGGAGTCTTCTAGTATGTTTTGTGCACTCTTTTTCAGATGTTTCGAGCTTTATATTTTCTACGTCAAGGAATATTCATGACGGTGGAGAAATATGAAGTTTAACATCTTAGCGTTGTACAAAGATCCAATACACACATAGACAAGAGAGAGGGTGTAGCATTCATAATAGACACCAGAGTTTTTACGTGAAAACCCCTAATAAGGGGGAAAAATCATGGGGCCTGGCCTAGTTTGAATGAATCCACTAGTGTTTGTTTTCATTTACAAATTAGGCCCTTCCTTAGGGGGAAGGCTTTGATTTGATGCAGCAAATATACATTTTATAAAATGCATTACACGGTAGAAATTGGAATAACAAACATCGAGGTAGTTAGCAGCGACGAAAGTTGGAAGGGCCGTAGATGATGGGCAACAAAGGTATAAGTCCGACGAAAGTCTGGCGATGGGCAAAAATTTGGCAAGGGGCGAAAGTCTGGCGACGGGCAGAAGTCTAGCTTCAAGTAGAAATCTGATGATGATCAGCAGCTGGGTGGAAGTCCGACGGTGATCGGCGGCCAGGCAGTGGTCCGATAAAGGTCGGGCTGAAGCCCGGAGGTGATTGGCTGTCGGCTAAAGTCTGGAGGCAATCGGCGTTCAAGGTGAAAGTCCGACAATTGGTGGCGGATGGGCAATGGTCCGATGACGGACGGGTTGAAGTCCGAAGGCGGTCAGCAGCCGGGTGGAAGTCTTACGGTGATCAGCGACTGGGCCGTGGTCTGACGAAGGTCGGACTGAAGTTCAGCGATGATCGGCGGTCGGGTGGAAGTCCGACGATGGTAGACATTCGAGTGGAAGTTTGATGGCGGTCGGCAGCCAAGCGATGGCCTGGCGATAGTTGGGCTAAAGTCCGGTGGCGGTCGGTGGCCAGGTGGAAGTCCGACAATGGTCAGTGGACGTGCGGTGGTCCGATGACGGTTGAGTTGAAGTCCAGCGATGGTTGGCAACTAGGGGGAATTCCAGCGGTGATTGGCGGCCGGGCGATGGTCCGACTAAGGTCGGGCTGAAGTCCGATGGTGATCAGCAGACGGGTGGAAGTTTGGCGGAGGTCGACGTCATAGTGGAAGTTCGACGGCGGTCGATGACCCAAAAACAGTTGGCCTAAAGTCTGGTGGCTAGCTGTCCGCGGCCAAGTGGAAGTCCGATAATGGTTGGCAGAAGGGCGATGGTCTGATGATGGTCGGGTTGAAGTCCGACGACGGTCGGTGGCCTAGTGGAAGTCTGGCGGTGATCGGCGGCTGGGGGTGGTCCGACGAAGGTCAGGCTGAACTCCGATGTTGATCAACGGCCAGATGGAAGTCCAACGGCGGTCGACGTCCAAGTGGAAGTTCAGAGGCGATCGGCAGCAAGGCGGTGGCCCAACGATAGTTGGGTTAAAGTCCGATGACGGTCGGCGGCCAAGTGGAAGTCTTACAACGGTCTGTGGACGGGCGGTGGTCCGATGACGGTCAGGTTGAAGTCCGGCGGCGATCGGCGGCCGGGTGGAATTCTGGCGCTAATCAGCACCCGGACAATGGCCTGACGAAGGTCGGGCTGAAGTCTGGCGGTGATCATCGGCCAGGTGAAAGTCCGGCAGCGGTCAACGTTTGAGTGAAAGTTCGACGATGGTCGGCGACCAGGTGGTGGCCTGACGACAGTTGGGCTAAAGTCCGGTACTAGTCGATAACCTCAACTAATTTATTAGATATATAGCTTATTTTAATTTATTAATTGAGAATTTTATTAATAAATAGGTCTTAGATTAGAAGCTCATTCACTTTACTCTCAAATGTAAATAAAATAAAATAATAATAATATAGAGAAAAATAATAATAAAATACAGTCCGGTTAGATTTGTGTGGCCGGAAACACAGCTGAGCGTGCACTACCCCAGCAGCTCTCCACTCTTCAAATTTAGTATTGCAATGGTTGTGCAGGGGAGTTTAAGGGGCGGTATCCATGGCGGCCCCAGCAGTTGAAGGGAAGGTGACGACGGCGCTGCGAGCTGTATTCCGACGGGTCGAAGGGGCGGCGAAGAAGGCCGGGAGGCAGCCGGAGGACGTGAGAGTAGTGGCTGTGGGGAAGACTAAACCGGTCTCCCTAATCCGGGATCTCTACGATGCAGGCCACCGCTGTTTCGGCGAGAACTACGTCCAGGAGTTCATACAAAAGGCGCCTCAGGTGATCTCTTCTTCTTTCTCGCCTGTTTTCGATGTGCAAATAATTGGGTTTCCCCTCGGAACTGACGGCGAGATTAGGGATCGAGTTAACTTATTGTTTGGAAATAACGAGCTTGTGTCTTAAATAATTTTGGGAATTTCGCTAGGAATTTCATTTATAGCATTGACGTGCTATGAGAAATTTAATTTGATGGGGCACATTTGAATTAAAAATTTTCACATTCAAATGCAGATTCATCTAAATTCTTATTTTGGCAAATTTATAATCCAAATGAATGCCTTGACGAGGCAAACCTGATGACTCTATTAGTAGTTCAATCAAAATTTGAATAAGCCCGACTTAAGCACTTAAAATGCAATAGAGGGAATAATCTCTAATTTCAGCAAACTTATAATCAAATTAAGGCGCTAATTGGAAAAATCTTTCTCCAATTTTCTATATTTAAATAACTCCCCCAGTGATTTTGGTATGTTTGATTACCTAAGGTCTAAATGGCTTCTTGCTTCTCTCTTCTTGGATGGGCATTACTCTTAATGATTTTTGTTTTCTAAATCTAATGTATTTTATTATTAGTTTTTTAAAGATGATAATCTTATGTAACTGCAAGATCATATAAGTATTTTACTGACTAGTTATAAAGTCATGTTGCTTAAACAAAACATTTTTGTTCATGAAATAGCCACCGCTGCTTTTTCCATATGCTTGCCAAACACCAGAACCATTATTGTTGTTGTTTCCCATTGGCTAGCTTGAATCCATCTGTATTTCATTTCTTTATTGTGGCCACTGCCACCAGCCTCTTTTCTTATTTTCATTCTAATGTCACCTCGGGAACCATCTCCGTGAACAAGGCTCCAGCCATCGCCAGGTCTTTTACAGGATAAGTCTATAACCTTGTTTCACATAACACAATGATTACATTCTTATTACAGCATAAGCCTATAAAGTTTGTTTTTAGTTTATTTATTTCATCCTCACTTGAAATGCGAGATATGAAACTAGTTCTTTGGATAAAGCTGTCTTCATATTGATTCTCGCTGTATGGACATTGAACTTATGTCTTGTTTGTTTACCTTATGCATATTGTATTTGATGAAGCTTCGTACTATTTTGCAGCTTCCTGATGATATCAAATGGCATTTTATCGGGCATCTTCAAAGCAACAAAGTCAAACCCCTTCTAGGTATTGGTAATGTTAAACACGTTTGAAGCATTGCATGGATTATCCAGTATAAGTAAGCTTTTCATTCTGAAAGGTCATTTTGGTCTTGGGACAGCCCTATCAAGGATTTTATAGTTTAGTGAAAGTTAATGACCGAATGTTATCTTCCTTTTTTTCTCATTGTTAATAAATTGCTGCATATAAATTTGCACCTTTACATTCCCTTTTATTTTGTATTTCTTTTGCTTGCCAAAAATGTTTGCTTTAATTATCCATTCCTACGAAACAGCTCATATGTGATGCTTTCATATAAAGATCATTAATAGTGGTTGATCGAGCCTTCCAAGTTAAAGCCAAAGGATGCTTGTTTAAATTGCTTTTGCATTAACCATACTCATTTAACCATGAACTTGTAAAAAGCTGAAATTCACAGCTGGATTTTTCAAAATCTCCGTAAAAAATGATAAAAACCTGATTTCTGCACAAATGATTGTGCTATTGCACTATTGCTTCTAAGAATTTTGAACTATGTCCTGCCTTTATTTTTTGTCTATATTGGAGAAATTATTGGATAACTGAGAACCATGATTTGTTAAAGGAATAGCTTCTGAGGCAATAGAAAGGATAGTGCATCTATCCCGTTTTCCTCTAAATTAGATATGTGAATAATAGTTTATTTATTTGACGTAAGTACAGCCTGAAGATATTGTAAATGTTTGAAACTTCAAAGTATGGCTTGTTTGGTTCATTGATCTCTTGGGCACTGTGTATCTTGCTGATGTGCTTGCTTCAGTGTCTTTTCATGCTATCTATTCATATGTCAGCTTAACCCACAATATAGATAAATCTGGATGTCTACCATACTATTGATCTTCACACATTGCCTAAATCAGCACGGGCGAAGGTGACAAAAGTGACGATCGACGAGCGCGATCGTCAACAAAGCGCGTCACTTTACTAAACTATTCAAACGACCTCCAATCACCGAACGGATCTCACCAATGTGATCAAAATGTTGAATTTAACCGCGGGAGGACCCCATCTCAACTGAATTGAATGATGGCGGTCAAAATCAACAAATTATAGGCGCAATGACCCGATGTTGCCTGAATGACGTCCGTTCGCAAAATGGATTTTGCTGTTGCGTCCGGAACATCGAAAATATCCAAGAATGACTGTCATATTGTATGTGTCATTTGAATGAGCAAACATGTGAATTTTGTGTAAGTTTCGAGACAACGACACACAAATTAAGATGCACAAAAATCGAGGAATTTTATTCTAGCACAAATCCCCAAAATCCTGCTTAAATCTTGCTCAAATCTAACTCAAATTTCTACTATTCGGCGTCGTCGCCTCTCGCGATTTATGCACATATCCCGCGATTGCTGCTCTGCTCTCATTGATAAAATGAGAAACGGTTAGAGATTTCAGCTCTTCTTCCTCACGCGAGAACATCCCAAGGTTTAAAATTGCGTATTCGGGTATTGAGGCATTTTTCGTTCGTGAGGCGAGGCGTAAGCCTCAAGGCGATTTGAGGCGTAAGCCTCAAAATCAAAAAATTACGTAAACATAAAATAATAAATTTTGTATATACTAATGAGTAAATAATATATAAAACATAAAAATGCACAAGATAAATAGCAATGACATTAACATATCACATAAGAAGTTAGGAACTCACTAGTCATTAGCATTATCATCACTCATCAGTCATCACTAAGGGGGTTTTCATTTGAATCATCATTATGATGAGCTGCTCTCTCATCTTCCCCCTCTCCTATAGAGTCCAATATCTCCCAATCAGCTTCTTCTTCCTCATTATTAGTTATCTTCCTCTTCCCTAAATAGTAGAAATTTTTGAACAATATCATAATGAATAATAGTGTAATACATTAATAAAAGTTTAAGAAAAGAAAACTATATTATTTATATACCTTTTTTGATTTGTTCTTGAGTTGTGGTGGATGTGGATGCTTTAAGACCATCAAAGAAATCAACATTTAAATCTTCATCTTGTAATTCAGACGGCATCACTTCAACTTCATCATCTACAAACCACTCATCATCAGATGCCACATCATCGCAAAGCAAAGGATCTTCATCATCCATTAATCCTTTTTTCTTCAAATTTCTATCTCTGAGTCTCCTATTATACATAATGTACACCAGTGAGTTCATCCTCAATGTCGACAAACGATTTCTCCTCTTTGTATGTAATTGGTTGTAGGTACTCCAATTTCTTTCACAGCCAGATGAAGAGCATGTCAAGCCCAAAACTTTCACAGCAAAACGTTGTAATTCTGGAGTCCCATCACCAAATTGAATCCACCACTCAACTGGAGATCGTTTGGCAATTGTATCTTTTGCTTGTTGTAATCCAAAAAAACCTTCTTTGTTCCTAAAAGGTACCAATTGCAAGTCAGCATTTGATCTTTCAGTTGCATCACTTATTAGACGATCCATGCAATGATATAATCCCAACTTTATTTCAGGGTTTGTAGACTTGTTCTCTGCATATTGATACTGAGGGTTTAGGTAGTAGCCAGCGGCATGCAAGTGTCGGTGAAGCTGTAGTTCCCACCTATCATCAATAATATTCCAAATTTCCCTAAAGCTTCCCTCACTGCCTCCTAAGTTGGAGGCAATCATCTCTTTGGCTTCATCCATAGCATTGTAGATGAAACCCATTGCAGGCTTCTTCTCAGCATCCACCATCCTTAAAACATGAACCAAAGGTCTAGTGGTTGTAATGGCATATAAGACACTTTGCCAAAATCTGTCATTTAAAACAATCTTTCTAATCTCTTTTCCCTCAGCCTTCTTCGCCCAAGCACAACTCAACCACTGTGTAGATGTGAACATAGCCTCTAAAGGTTGTCTGGCATCCAGCATGCTCTCTAAGGTCAAGTATGCGGTGGCAAATCTTGTTGCGGCTGGCCTTAGAATTTCTTTCTTCGAAAACTTTCTCATAAGAGCTAGAATCCAAGAGTGGTTGTAAATAAACTTGGTTATTTTTTTGGCTTTAGTGAGTGCATTTTTATGTTGAGGTAGATCCCCAAGCTTCTCAAGAATCAGATCTATGCAATGTGCAGCACATGGAGTCCAATACAAATGTTTCCTCTTCTCCATAAGTTTATTACCTGCAGCCTTATAAGAACTTGCATTATCTGTCACAATTTGTACAACCAAATGTTCTCCAATCTCTTCAACAATGCTATCTAATAATCTAAATATGAACTCAGCATCTTTGACCTGGTCAGATGCTTCAATTGACCTTAAAAACACAGTACCATAAGGATTATTAATGAGGATGTTGATCAGACTTCTATGTTTGATATCAGACCACCCATCTGACATAATTGTTACTCCTGTTTGGGCCCAAGTCTTCTTAATTTCTTCAATGCTTTTATCAGTGCTTTCCAACTCCTTCAAAATCCATGTTCTTAAATCATACATGGTTGGAGGTTTGAACCCTCTCCCAAATGCTCCAACTGAACGAATCATGTTGTAATAAGCAGGTGATGTTGCAACATTAAATGAAATTGCATTTTCGTAGAAGAATCTGCCTATATCCTTACACACTCTCTCCGCGCCTCTCTTGCATTTTCTGGGGCCATCTTCTGTGTAGTAGAAGGCCTATCCTCTGATGTGTCAACCATATAATGATCCATAGGCCCTCTAGCACCCCTAGATGAAATGGGCTTCATAGAAGAAGATGAATCCCTGACGCTGCGCTCACTCCCGTAGTAAGATCCAGCATCAACTCTATCCTCAAATTGCTTCTGTGCAAGATGTTTTGATGTGATAGACTTATTCATGTATGACTTTATCTCTTCCCTTACAGCATCAGGAACTTTGGAGCATGGAGCAACATTCTTGTGAGAGCCTGAAAGGTGTTCCTTCATCCTAGTCACACCACCTTTCACAACTTTATCACAGTAATTGCATTTCAGATAGACATATGTTTTATCACTTCCTCCTACATCCACCTGAGTGCTATATTTCCATGCTGGATCTTTTCTATGACCTGATGCAGCCTTATCCTTATTTTTGACCATCCTGATTGAGAGAAATTTTAGGAAGCAAACGAGTTCTTACTAATCTTTTATATGACCTGATGCAGGTCGGAGGAGACAGCAGCCTCGGAGGCTCGGACAGAAGCGTACGCTGGTCGGACGGAGAAGACAGCAACCCAACTCGCAGTCTCGCAGTAGAAGAAACCTCCAAGCAAATAAGTTTAGGGTTTAATATGCGGGCTGGATGTGTTCAGTATTATATAATGTCGAGCCGTCGATAAAGCAGAACACTGCGTACTCTATGCGTATTTATGCGTATTTTGTGCGTACACCCTACGTGCACATTGCGTGTTTTGGAGCAGATGTAATTTAATGTATGATTTTGTATTAGTAGTTAATAAAACATGATTTTCTAGGTATTGTTTGAGTACCAGGAGTATTAATTATTTTATTGTGCGTACATTATGCGTATCTTATGCGTTATATATTGATAAACTATGCGTTCACCATACGTTTTTTGTGCGTGGTCTCTGCGTCAACATTGCGTATTTTTAATGAAAGATAAAGTCAAAGAGAAAAAAGAACATTTAATGTACATCTTTAAATACAAAAAAAAGAACATTTAATGACTATGTACAATATAAAAAATATAAGAACAAATTAAAAGAACATTTATAACAAATACAATTTTACAAGAGACCCTAATGTACATCTTCAACAAGACAACAACATCAACTTTCCTACAGGAATTATGATTGATGTCTTGTCCAATATAAATCACCTTGACAACCAAGCCTTCCCTCCATCACTGCGATACTTATCCTCCTCCCATGTTCCTGATGCCAATAACTTGTTAACAGAAACCTGGTCAGGTTAGAGAGGTTTAAGTTTACAAGTTATTGGCATCAATTTCATGGGAGGAGGATAAATATCGTAGTAATGAATGGAAAGCTTGGTTGTCAAAGATTATTTATATTGGACAACAGAAGGTAAGATTTTTTA